CCTAGACCCTTCATCAGAAAAAGGGTCTAGGCCCGAAACGTCAGCCTTTCTGCTCCTATGATGCTGCTTGGCCTGCTGTGTTCATCCAGCTCTGCACCTTGTTGTCTCAGATTCTCCAGCATCTGCAGTTCCTACTACCCCAGCTCAGTGGTTAGCACTCCTGCCTCACAGTGCTGGGGTCCCAGGTTCGATTCCAGCCTCAGGCAACTGTCTGTGTGGAGTCCAAACATTCCCCCAGTGTCTTGCGTGGGTTTCCTCTGGTTTCCTGCAGGTACTCTGGTTTCCTCCAACAGTCCATAGATGTATTGGGAAATGCAGGGTTACAAGGATGGGTTGGGGTGGGATGCTCTTTAGAGGGCTTGTGTGGACTCATTGGGCCAAATGGATCGCTTCCTTACTGTAGAGAGGGTCCATGACTTTAAAAAAAAAACTTAAACTATACTCATGAGGCCTCTTGTGGCACAATGGTAATGTATGGGTTCAAATCCCATCTGCTCCAGAGATGGGAACAGATTAATTAGAAAAATAATCTAAACTACACAACTTAGGACCAGAAGGAGCAAGTTTGTCTTCAGAATAAAACATTCCAACAATTAGGAGGAAACGGCTTGCTCAAGAATTGACCTTATTTATACTAGTGCAAGAAAGGCTAAATATTACTCCAGGCCTTTCACTGATCTTTTGAGTACGTTTGTTCTTTATCTGACTGACATTTACATGGTCCTTCTTGGACAGCAACTGACTGTGGTGTAGTCACTTGCATTTCAGGCAAACTCATTACAGCCATACAAATCTCTCACAAACTCTAACTGCAAATAAAACTGCAAAATAGATGTTGTTCTTTCAAGCCTGTAATTACAGTGGAACACTGGGAAGTCACAAGATGTTACCCTAGGATTTATTTGAGATGAGAAGGGTTAGATGAGTAGCCATTTGGTAGTAATGAACTTGAGCATTGCTAAAAATAGATATACTGTATCAAAGCTTTTACATGTGAAACTCATCAGGAAAATATTCATGTATGTACATAAAAGAAAACAGCATTACGCTATAAAAGAGGAGTGTGTCGATTGGTAGAGGCAGTCATAGATGGTGACTGCCAGTAAACTTCAACATAGAAGCTTTGTTCAAACTTCAATCAGGCAGGCTGACTGATTTCTCAGGACTACGCCATTACCAATGGTCCAGCAAATGGCAGTTATCTATTTTGTTAAGTTGAAACAGGTGCAGTGTGTGCACACATTATTGCTGTTTGGAGAGAACACTGCCCTGTGCCTTAATGTGTGTCTTTTCCTGTGCATGCAAGTGCACTGCACACAAGACTGAGAACCTTAAAATGATTGTTACTGCAATTCTTTGCATGGTTAGGATTATTTAGCAAATGTTACCCAATCACAAAATGACATGCAATGTTGGGTATTGTACTGAGATTTGCAAGCACAGACAGGTAAGGTCGCTAGTTTACATGTTGCATTAGGTAAAGACACATGCCGTTTGACTTGATCCACCAGTCTTTGACATGAACAGTGGCACCAAAAGACATTTCTCACATTGCTCATTTGTGCAATGGGCAGAACATGGTCTTGGCTTGAAAGCAGCATCAACCGGAGACAACAAGGTGCAGAGCTGGATGAACACAGCAGGCCAAGCAGCATCATAGGAGCAGAGAGGCTGACGTTTCGGGCCTAGACCCTTCATCAGAAGAGGGGGAGGGGAAGGGGGTTCTGAAATAAATAGGGAGAGAGTGGGAACCGGAGGCCTGTTCATGAGTTTCAGCAGTCCTGAAAAGTGTCCAGTCTATCTCAGATTACCTTGAAAGGAAAAGGTAGCTCATAAGCTATCTTGGAAATTTGATTAACAGGTTAAGTTCCACACTTTCACTATTCATGAAGAACACAAGTGGTACTCATCACTAACGAGAATGTTACCATGTTGTGGATTGTCTCAGCAGCACTGATGCAATTTGTTACAGCTGTCAATACAGGAGCAATGTTTTCAGAGGAATATGTTAAATGTTGATTCACTTGAGTTTGTCAGCAAGATGGCAGCTGTCAATATGAAACACTGATTGTTTTAAGCTTTTGAAGCTATAGACCATCAACCAGATAAGGAAGCCACAAGGAAGAGCTACATATTAAAGTGAGTTAATACAGTTTGGTGAAGGCACCGCAACTGGTCTGGGTTTAGTGCTCAATTTCTATTATCCACATAGGTCTTCCTTCTCATTTATATTTCCTCTTACCAAAAATTAATCTGGAATGCATCCTCTTTAAACCGTATACCTTCCTCAAACCAGAGTTCAATAGCTTATACACTAGGTATCGTCTAAAGATGTGCCATTACTGCTTTGATTTTATCAGTGTATAATACAAAGTTTCAGAGCAGACTCACCAAACCGTAATAAAATTTGAACCATCTCATGAACTTGTCATCAAGTACCTCCTTTCACAGCTCTGAACAGCACTGTCCTTTGAACTACTGCTATTACAGTATCCCCCATGAGGGAATGATCAGATCCCAGAATGTTGTGCAGCCCCACACATTTCCTCAGCAGAGAGAATAGATTAGACATTAGGCTTGTATAATTTTCAAACTTTATTTATAAACTCAACAGAATAGCACAAGGTTCTTAATCCTGATTAGGTTCAGCACTTCTTGATGCAAAGTGTATCGGGCACAGCCACAATGTCTTGAACAATCCAACAGACTAATATCTGTCTAACCAGA